GAAATTAGATGACCTGCAATGCTGAAATAGTCCCATACATCAAAACATTGTCCCTCTGGGGACCCAGGGCTCTCGGTATGGAAGAATCGTGTGGGAATGAACTTGAACTGGAGGTACTGGTATGAACTCATTATTTCTAAAATATGTATGTATATGTATATGCACTGAAATTTTTCCCAGCTCTGTCTATTGAATGGTCCAAGAAGCAAAAATTCCACAGTAGCAGAAGGACAACTGGCACCTAGATCTTGGTTTCTAAGGCCATTCCTCACCAGAAGGAACCAGAACTCCTCAGAGAAATGGTTGATTCCAGGACTAGGTCAGAAAAGATAAAAGATGAGCCCAGAACAACTTGTTATATGAGAAAGTAAGAAAGATATAAAAGAAGGAGGTTGGGGGGAGATGGATGGAAGCCAGCTTGAAAAGGCTTCTATTAGCCAAATCTGGGACAATTGGACCACCAAAATAATTAAGGATGCTAATAAGTCATTTAAAAAATCCATGAATCGATGAGATTTAAACATAATGCATGATAATAAACAGATGACAAAAAGAAAAAAGGAAGGGCTCTTGCTTACGGTAGAATACTGAGTGCTAACTAGTAAATCTGGAAGAATTTTTAGAGTTGGAAAATCATCATTTTGCAATAATCATAGTAAAGATTCAGGCTAGAAGCCATGAATGGAAGCTAAATCTCAGAGGAAACTTTAGATCAGCAGCAGGATATTTGTATTGTATTAAAGTGTCCCCCGACAGATAGCCTATTAATCAGAATATAACAATACAACAGAGAAATCAGACACAGTTGACTGGATGATCATAGTTGGCATACGGATATCAGGTATGTCTAGATGTGATACCCTGACAGGGACACAATATAACTGACAGTATTCTGGCTGGGGAAGCATAAGTTGAATCTAATCATGAGAAAATAGACAAATCCAAAAGGATGAATATTCTATTAAAAAAAGAGATTGGATTCTTAAAATAATGACAATGTCATAAGAAACAAAGAAAGGATAAGGAACTATTTCAGATTAAAGGATACTAAAGACACCTAACAACTAAATGTAGTATGTGATCCTAGACTGGATCCGGTACTGGAGGAGCAAAAATGCTATAAAGCTGTGGTCCCCAACCCTTGGACTGGTTAGGGACTATGCTGCAGAGCTCCCCACCCCCCACCCCATCCATGGAAAAACTGTCTTCCATGAAACTCGGGGGCTGGGGGGTGTACAGCAGGAGGTGAGCGGTGGGCAAGCAAGCAAAGCTTCATCTGTATTTACAGCTGCTCCCCATCACTCCTATCACTGCCTGAGCTCTGCCTACCCCCACCCCTTCATGGAAAAATTGTCTTCCATGAAACTGGTCCCTGGTGCCAAAAAGGTTGGGGACTGCTTCTGTAAAAGACATTTTTGGGTCAACTGACAAAGATATGAATAGTAGATTAAAGTATTATATTAATGTTAAGATTTCTGATGTTGGTAATGGTGCTATGGTTATATAAGGATATCCTTACCCCAGGTAAAGTACACTGAAGTACAACAAACTTTCAAATGACTAAAAAAGTGTGTGTGTGTGTGTGGGGGGGTGTGTATAGAGAGAGAGAAAGAGAGAGAATGGGAAAGCAAACACAAATGAATCAAAATGGTAACAACAGGTCAATCTGGGTAAAGGTAGTGCTATGGTTTGAATATTTGTCCCCTCCAAACTCATGTTGAAATTTAATCCCCAATGTGGCAGTACTGAGAGGTGGGGGCCTTTAGAAGGTGATTGGGTCATGAGGGCTCTGCCCTCACGAATGAACTAATCCATTCATGGACTAACGGGTTAATGGATTATCATGGTTGTGGGACCAGTGACTTTATAAGAGGAATAGAGACCTGAACTGACACACTCAGCCCCCTTGCCATGTGATGCCCCGTGCCACCTGTGTACTCTGCAAAGAGTCCCCACTAACAAGAAAGCCCTCACCAGATGCACTCTATTGATCCTGGATTTCTTACCCTCCATAGCTGTAAGGAATAAATTCCTTTTCTTTATAAATTATCCAGTTTCAGATATTCTGTTATAAGCAACAGAAAACAGACTAAGGTATACAGTTCTTTGTAATTGTTTGTAAGTTTAAAATTATTTCCAAATAAAAAGTTTGCCCCACACGTACCACGCCATCTGTGAATGGCAGACATTCACACTACTAGAAAAATCTGTTTATAATTAACAGAACTCCCTTTTACATACAAAGTATTTTTTTATAATTGAAAAAAAGCTGAATTTTCCATAAGTGCACTTCCACATAAATTGAGGGAAGATAGACCTCTGAATCACTCAGAACTTTACCAAGTGCTGTGAATTTTGTAAGTAAAATTATGTCAATATAATGCTACTCCTAATATTTGAATTCACCAGTATACCACATCTGTACCCATCTACATGTTCATAGGGATGCTACATTTAAGTGCAAGCATTTAGCTACTTCATAGTTTCTTAGTATAGTTTTGCCTAAGCATTTATTTATATATCGAAATATGAGGGGTCTTCAAAAAGTTTAAGGAAAATGCATATTATGAAAAAAACTATGATGGAGCTCAAAATTTTTTTGTACCATAATAAACTCATACTAACTTGTTATAACATGTCTGCACAGGATCTAACTTGAGGAACTAAGAAGTATAAGACATTAGTTTGAAAAGAGCCCCTACCAGAACAACATGAATTCTGCTAAAATTGAAGCAAGAATGAACATCAGATTTCTGATGAAGCTCAGGTGGAAGAATGGTGAAATCATTGCTGTTTTACAAAAAGTTTATGGGGACAATGCCCCAAAGAAATCAGCAATTTACAAATGAATAACTTGTTTTTAAGAAGAAAAGAGACAATGTTGAAGATAAAGCCCGCAGACTATCCACATCAATTTGTAAGAAAAAATAAACCTTGTTCATGCCCTAGTTGAAGAGGGCTGACAATTAACAGCAGAAACAAAAGCCAACACCATAGAATCTCAATTGGTTCAGCTTACAAAATTCTCACTGAAAAATTAAAGCTGAGCAAAGTTTCCATTGGATAGATGCCAAAAACCCTACACCCAGATCAGCTGCAGACAATAGCAGAGCTTTCATTAGAAATTTTAAACAAGTGGGATCAAGATCCTAAAGCATTTCTTCTAAGAATTGTAACAAGAGATGAAACGTAGCTTTATCAGTATGATCCTGAAGACAAAGCACAAAAAAGCCATGGCACCAGGAGGTAGAAGTCCAGTCAAAGCAAAAGGGAACCAGTCAAGAACAAAGGTCATGGCAACAGATTTTTGGGATGCTCAAGGCATTTTGCTTGTTGAGTTTCTGGAGGCCCAAAGAACAATAACATCTGCTTATCATAAGAGTGTTTTAAGAAAGTTAGCTAAAGCATTAGCAGAGTCCTTCACCACGACAATGTTCCTACTCATTCTTTTCATCAAATGAGGGCAATTTTGGAGAGTTTTGATGGAAAATCTTTAAGCACCCACCTTATAATCCTGATTTGGCACCTCTGACTTCTTTTTGTTTCTTGTTTCCTGATCTTAAAAAAATCTTTATAGGGCACATATTTTTCTTTGGTTAATAATGTAAAAAAGACTGCACTGACATAGCTAAATTCCCAGGACCCTCAGTTCTCTAAGGATAAAGAGGTGGTATCATTGCTTACAAAAGTATCTTGACCTTGATGGAGCTTATGTTGAGATATAAAGTTTGTCTTTTTTATTTGTGTCTTTTAACTCCATTCTTCCCACAAACTTTCTTAAAAGTCCCCTTGTACATATTATTTATTGTAAGTTTCTTTCCTTTGGTTTCTCCTTTGTATCATAAAGGAATTATACTGATTTTAAAATATGTATAGATATTATGTATGAATTTAATTTCAGGATAATTTTTAAAAGAGTATTATAAAGTATTTGTTATAAAAAGGTTATCCTGGGTCTCTAACAGTGAGACTCTTATAGGGAGACTGTAAGTTCCTTATGCAGAGGCTATGATTATCTTCAGATCTTCCACATCTCTGCTTCGGCTGGCCCCTGCCATTCCAGAGCTCACAATCAACTCTGCTTGTGCGAACACATTATCAGGGAAGAAAATGATGATTTCTTTGAAAACTCCAATAACATACCCATTACAGACAGCAGTGTTCCCTACACTTACAGGAAGAATCCATAAACACAGGGGGACTTTATTCTTATCTGACATAAGCAAAAAAAAAAAAAAAAATCTGGGGGAAAATATTAGATCAGCACTGGAATTGATCCAAAAATTACATCGGGCTCTTAAAACTATCACCAATCTATTTACTTTATCAATGCTCCAATGATGTTATATATACTAAAAGGGCAGGCAGAACCGAAAGTCTGAAGTATGTACGTTTTTTAAAAGTGCTCATAGGGTCAGTGATTTCTTTTGGGCCTTGGTATTTTATAAAAGAAAGGCTGTTGTCTGTGTAAAATGACATAGGGAACAGGGGAAAAACAAGTATAATTAGGAGCCTATTGCCTGGGAAGATGTTAGCCAACTATCTTCCCTCAATGCTTACATAACAGTCTAACATTGCCTTCAAACCTCTCACCTGGTAATGAAATAGAGAAGAGTCAAAAAGGGCTCTGAAGACCACAAGACAAGTTAGGAAAGTAAAGAGATTGACAGTAAAAAAGGATGTAAGTATAAAATACAAAATTCTGTAAAACAGAGACAGGCTGCATAAAGACCATATGATAAAAATGGACAAAAAAGAAAAGAATTGTTGTTTACCTAACATAATGAGACTGTCAAGGCAAAAACAAAATATTAGAAATGTACAGTATACAGAAATGATTTTGCCATGTATAAAAGTTTCATTCTTTTTAAGGCTTAAAATGTGCTTATCTGAAATGAATCATCATAAAAGCATAATTTCATATATACATCATATGAGTTTATAATGGTAAACATATGTAATGACTGAAAATGACCCATAACAGCCCAATAGGTACCTACCAAGGTGACAATCTTCTTTTTCTCTTGTTTCCCATTTGTGGCTGTCCACATATGCTGCAGAAAGCAGGCATCTTTTACCTGAGGAAAAAAAAAATTACCTAAACAGGCACAGTTTCACACAGGTTCATTTTATGTATCTATTTTATTAAACATACCTTTGTCACATTTTCAACTACTAGATCATATATTTTAAAAATTCTAATACAATATTGCAACCAATACCGTATAGTTCACAATTCATTTCACAACAAAATGCATTCAACCTCTAACAAGTAGAGGATAGAAAAAAACTGAAAATTTTCACAGTAATTTTAAGGGTAAAAATGCTGATATTTTGTTCTATAACTTTAGGGCTAGGAGACATTTGTTGCCATTAAATTATAGCCCAGGTGAGCTCTAGCACTTCCTCTTAGAAGAACCCCAAAACACCTGCCGACTGTTGCTTAACTCATTAATTGAATGCCTTATAATAATTAGTCCTAAAAACATTTCCATCTGACTTGAGTCTACATATTTACCCCCAATTTTACATAAAGCAATTTCACATAAAGCATAAACATTTCCATTTGACTTGAGTCTGCATATTTACCCCTGTTTCGCATAAAGCTGGTCACCTTACCCAGCACCCTAATTGTAAATAAGAGAAACCCCCTAAGTCAACTTTGAGGTAACACACAAGATGGCATAGCTGTATTCCTGGCACCTGGCACAATGCTGGCCTGTAGCAATGTTCAATAAACATGAGCCCAAGGAATGAATGAGAAAGAATGAATGGCAAGTTCATCAAAATTAAAAACTTGTGTTTCAAAGGACAATCTCAGGAAAGTGAAAGTACAACTCACAGAATGGGAGAAAATATTTGCAAATCATTTACCTAATAAGGGACTTGTTCCCAAAATATATAAATAACTCTTACAATTCAAAAATAAAAAAAATAACCCAAATGCAAAATGGGCAAAGGATTTGAACAGACATTTCTAAAAATATATACACACATGCAAATAGCCACTAAGCACAAGAAAAGATGCTTAACTTCATCTGCCATTAGAGAAATGTAAAACAAAATTACCTAGACATACCACATGACACTCACTACAATGACTAAACTCAAAATGCAGATAATGACAGCTGTTGGAGAGGCTGCCGAGAAACTAGAAACTCATACATTCCTGGTGAGAATGTAAAATGTGTAGCTGCTTTAGTTTGGAAGTTCCTCAAAATGTGAACATGATGATCCAGAAACGCCACTCCTAGGAATATAACCAGGAAAAATGAAAACTCCTGTCCACACAAAATTTATACACAAAAGTTTGTAGCAGCATTATTGATAGTAGGCAAAAAGTGGAAACAATCCAAATATCAATCAATTGATGAATGGGTAAACAAAATGTGGTATTTCCTTATAATGGAATATTATTTGGCAATTAAAATATGAAGTACTGAGACATGCTACAACAGAGATGAACCTCAAAAACACTATGCTAAGTGAAAAATATGCCAGTTACGAAAGGCCACATATTGTATGATTCCATTTCCAGAAAAGGCAAATCTACAGAGACAGAAGGTAGATAGTGGTTGCCTAAGGCTAGGAGTGGGGATTGGGAAAGGTTGGGGGAGATGGGGAGTGATTGGAATTTCTTTTTGGGGTGATGAAAATTTCTTAAAATTGATTGTGGTGATGGCGGCACAATTCTGTGTATATACTTAAAACCACTGAACTGTATACTTTAAATGGGTGAATTGTATGTCATGTGTATTATATCTCAATAACTCCGTTTTAAAAAAGGGGGGTGCTGGGTGTGCTGGCATGCACCTGTAGTCCCAGCTCAGGTGGCTGTGGTGGGAAGATTGCCTGAGCCCAGGAGTTTGAGGTTACAGTGATCTATAATTGGACCACTGCATTCCAGATTGGGGGGGCTGTTGGAGGGGGAGAGAGACAGAGACCCTGTTTCTTAAGGAAAAAAAAAGGGGGGGAAACTGGAATGAATGGCAGATAATTACCTAGAGGTCATAGAACACCATGGCCAAACATTATTAGATATTCCCAGATCTACCAGGAAAGATGAATAAAAAGCCCATGGCATTAATGTTAGGTATATATAGCTGTCTACCAATTCAGAAGTAAAGAGATCTCAGTTTTAGTTTCAGTTTTACCTGCTGTTAAAAAATTTCAGATCCTGCAGTTGCAAATGGAAGCTAAATTAGATATCACCTAGATAGGCTGGGTGATAGCTAAGGTCCCTATATTCTCTGACAGTCTTTGACACAGAACCAAAAGCATCAATTCAGATGACTCATTCATAATTGACAGCAGCATTTCTATGCAAACTGAATTCCAAATTCTAAAACAAGGAAGACCTTTCCTTTCAGTGGGTAACAACGGCAGCCCTTCTTTATGTGAGCATGAGCTGAAAAGAGGCTATTAAGCTACATACGGTCATTCCTGGGTATCCTGGAGGGGTTGGTTCCAGGCCTTCCTGCTCAGATATCAAAAACTGAGGATGCTCAAGTCCCTTATAATGGTGTAGTATCTGTATATAACCTATGCAACCTGCCCTATACTTTAAATCATCTCCAAATTACCTATAATACCTAATATTAATACAATGTAATTGCTATGTAAATAGTTGTTATACTGTATTTTTACAGTATAATAATAATGCAGTATAATAACAAAATGTTGTATTATTTTTTTATTGTTGTATTGTTATTTTTGGTTTTTTAAAATATTTTTGAGCCACAGTTGGTCAAGCCCACAGATGCAGCACCCTCATATACGAAGGGTCGACTATATTCTAGGCTACCAGCTACTTGCTTATTTTCTAATTATTAGTATCTCTTATTCTCTACATCTTCATTCTAGCATAGTCTATATTTTGGAGTCAGAAAAGACAATATCTAAATCACTGCTCAAGAGTTTTGAACTGGGAGATAAAAAGCTGAGGAGGTGATGGTGGGGAAGGACAGAACTCCCAGAATGCCCTCTGTATGCTGTTGTTCAAGGGAACCACATGAACTGAAGAGAAAATAAATCAGGACTAGCCAATTTACAAAAGGTAAGCCCAGCAACATTTATTTACATATGTGGGTGTGTGTGCATTTTTCTGTTTTAAAAGTAATCATGGGTAATCATTCTCCATCTCTGTTGAGGGTATAATGAAAAGTAATGGAAGAATGAAGAATTTAAATTTGGCAAATAGGAAGTTTTCCTAATAGGAAACCAATGACAAATACAGAAATAAGTTGCCAAGTATGGTAGGCAGAATAATGGCCTCCCAAAGATGTCCATATCCCATTCCCCAGAACCTATGAATATGTTAGGTTACATGGCAGAGGGGAATTAAGTTGCAGATGGAATTAAGATTGCTAATCAGTGGATCTTAAATTGGGAGTGGTCAGGATTATCCAGATTGGCCCAGTGTAACCACAAGGGTCCTTTAAAGAAAGAAGAGTCTATTGGTCAGGGTGATGTGTGAAGGACAGAGTGATGAAGACTTGACTGGCCATTGCTCACCTTGAAGATGAAGAAAGCAGACCATGGCCCAAGTAATGCAAGTGATCTCTAGAATATGGAAAATGGATCCTATCCAACACCTGGATTTTTAGCACAGTAAAATCCATGTCAGACTTCTGACCAGTAGAATTGTAAGATAATAAATTTGTGTTTTAAGCCACTAACTTTGTGGTAATCTGCTACAGCAATAATAGGAAAATAATATACCAATACAGACATTCCATTTTCTTTTTCATATACCCGAGTGGATAAAGGACATTCCATTTTCTGTAAGGCTTTTAAAGCAGGATGTTCATCTTTCTGAGATACTTTACAAATGATACCATTCAAAGTTCTTTCCATCCCTGTAAGCGTTAATTGGAAGGTCTGTAATATTAACATTAAAACTAAAGAATTTCTATAAAGTCAGAGACAGAACTCTAAGTGGAATGGACAATAGCAAAGTGGGACACCTAGATCAGATTCTCAAACTTTAATATGCATATTAGTCTCATTAAAATGTAGATTCTGATTCAGTAGGGCTGGGTGGGGACACACTCTGCATTGTAACAATTTCCCAGGGCATGTTGATGATGCTAGTCCTCAGACCACGCTTGAATTAGCAAGGAGATGGATTGACCTCAGTCTCACAGGTTTAGGTCTCTAAGCCTGTTTAATCCCACTCTGAATATACCCCTCAAGAGTATATACAAACTTTTGTTGAAACTGCTTACCTTTCAGTTAGTCAGCTATTGCTTGGGTCAACAATATTCTTTAAGATACCATCCATTACAAAAAGAAATGTTTTTCCATTTAATTCTGAAAGAACTCCAAGGACCAGAATTTCAAAATTTGGTGAAGAAGGACTGGCTCTAACCATATCCTTACACATTTTATAGTTATTTTGATCTTTGATCAAACGTTTCCAAACATTTTTGCTACTCAAGGGGAAGTAGTATAATTGTGGAAACAGGCTTTAGAGTCACAAAGTCTAACTTTGAATCCTTGCCTTGCTAATAAATGCTATGAAAATCTGGGCAAATTACACAGTATCTCTGAGCTTCTTTCTTATATGTAAAATGGGGAAATAATGTCTATTTTGGTATTGTAGTTTAAGTGAGGGTATATGTTAATGTCCCAATATCCACTACGTAATAGGTGCCCAATAAGTTTTTTCCCCCTCTTCATATATTTAAGTCACTTTTTTACTTCATCTCAGTTCATTTTCCTTGCATTCCCTAGATCATTTTAGCTGCCCTCCTCCATTCTGTTTTAAGGAGAATCAATAGAAGCCTCAAGATGTTCCAAATAACGATTTGTCATGAATTTGTACAAAGTAGAGTGCTTTTCCTCTCTTTTCCTGGAATGGATCAAGATGTTTCAATGACTATAAGTCAAGCTCCTTATCAGCATCCCCAAATCCTGAGTGGTCCATGCTGTACTACCCTATGAATCAATCACCTCCCTTTCAGCCTCTAGTTCCTGACTTCAAGACTCCTTTCATCTATGGTTTAACCTAGTGCTTGTTTTCATTATAATTTTCTGCAATGATGAAAATGTTCCACTCTAAGCTGTCCAATACAATAGCCACTGGCCACGTGGGTCTATTGAGCACTTAAAATGTAGCTAGTGTGACTAAGGAACTGAAATTTTATTTAACTTTAACTTAAATTTAAATAGCCACATGTGCTAGTAACTACCATATTGGAATTGCACAGGTGTAACTTCCCACGAGGTCATCAGTTCAAACTGAGACCAAAACGCTAACTGGAAATTCTCTCAATTCACCCTTGTTAATTTCTGTTCTGGTGTTAGAATGATTGCCACCAAATATTCTAAGCAACCATGATACTCTTCCTGATCTACTATCCAGGGTCTTGTTTAGACAGAGAAGCATTTACTAGCGATCATAATTAAACATGCTAATAATAGCTACAACAGCTCATTCTCATTGATGCGGCAAGCACCACGCATATCGCTTTGCCTAATAATGTGTGACATTAAACATTTTCACTAGGTCAACCACTTAATCCTCAGAAAATTTCTGGCGGCCAACCATTAAGTTTCACGTTGATATTTAATGGTTGTTTTAAAGAAGGGTAAGCAAGAGTGTGTGTTACTTTTTTTTTTTTTTTTTAAATAGGGGCTAGGGGAGGTAGGTTGGAAAGAGGAGATAAGCATTGGAAACATCACGTATGATTATTGCATTTTAATCATATAACAAATATGTCTGTCAGGATTATGTGGTTAACATTACTGCAAATTTGGCTTCTGTAAATACTTTAAAACTTTCAATGTTTTCATCATCAGGTCTAAGTAGGCTTGGAGCGGCTGAGTAGGCTTTGAATAGGCTGCCATTCAATTCAGACATCAGTACTTTGCAAGTAACTATTAGCATTTATTACCTACACGTGGAAAACTATAGCAAAGAAAGGTCAATCAAGAGTTGTGCTCAAGGTCATCAGGTAAAATGAGATTAATACTGAAAAATTCTCCCACGAAGTGAAGACCAGGGATTTGGCCAAGTGTAAGGTGGTGGGGAAAACACCTAGCTGACGCCCCTCCGAAGAAACCTCAGAATGGAGAAAAATGTCAGAGCCCCAAGGGTAGACACATTTGGGTTTTTCAGGGTCTACAAAAAGACAACCACTCTAACACAAAAATCAAGCAAATCATACGCAAAATCCCTCAAGCCATAACCTTCCTCTGCTCTTCACACCTTTGGATGGGGAGGTTCTACTATTTTAAAGAAGGAGACAGATCAGAGACCTTAACTCCTTTTTCTGTGCTATCAAACACCCCACAAACTTTCTCTAGCAACCAGATTCCAGAAGTATTTTCTCTCCTCTTGAAAGCCCATCACTCCCTTTACTCAAGGAACAGAGTAATTAGGGACCTAATAAAACAGCCCCACCAAGGCGGCAGCCACCAACCTGCTGGGGAGAGCTGAGGCAGAATCACTTTCTGCACCAGGAACATTCCGCGCCGCACTATGGAGGCCGCCATCTTGGCGCATACCAAACGGAAAGTCTGTGGGGGGCGGGGCGGACAGAGGAAGGGGAGGGGTTACAGCCGAATTGGACGAATTCCGTCCGGCGTTCTTGGGACTGACGCTCCGCCCCTTTTCCCGGTTCCAGCAGTTGGTACAGTCCCGGAGAGTATGGCTGCCGCATTTCGACCCTCAAGAGAAGTTCCGCTGCGAGTGTTGCGAATTTCGCTGTATCCCGGGGTGGGAGGCTCCGGTTCCAGTTGCTGCCGCTACCCTGTTGGAGGTATCGGCAGCCTCAGCCGGTGGAAGGAGGGGAGGGATGGGAAAGAAAGGAGCGTTAGACCCCAGCAGGCATCTTTTTAGAGCAGTCACACACCGGCTGGAGCGTGCTCTTGCCCTCTAGTTGCGCGTGGATGTAGCCGTGGCCTCTGGGGGTCGTGGATGGTCCTAGTCCCTGGAAACCGAAGGACGGTTGGGGTCTTGGCCTCGGGCTGTGGTGCACTCCCTCGGAGGGGGCGACATTGCGCTCCGGGAACATCCCTGCCCCTTGGGTGTACTTTTTCTGCAGGGTTTGGGAGCGGAGGTGTTAGACTCCTTGAGTTTGAAGCCTCAGTTCTGCTAACAATCTAAGAGACCTTGAGCAGTTCTCTTCATTTTCAAAATTGTTCCTTAACATTTTTATGGAAAGGGTTAAATCTGAAAATGCTAGTGAGTGATAATAAAAACATTCAACACTTTGTGTCAGGCATTGTTTTGATGCATTTTACCTATATTAATTCCTTGCCTCTAGATAACACCCAGTAAAAGAGGTACTGTTCTTTTTCTGCATTTACAGAGGCGGAAACATCGAGATTAAATAATTTGCCCAAGATCAGAGAGAATCAGTAGAGGTGGGATTTGCACATGGCCAAACACAGACCTGCTCTTCACCACTTCCCTGTGACTGCCTTTCTATAAATAAATAGCAATTTTTATTGTTGCCTTGTTATTACAGCACATAGAATTCTTTTAGTGAGTGATTCTTTGGCCAAACTTCATCCATTTTATCTCATTCATAGCTGAGGATCCTAAAGAAAGGATGCTGTTTCCCAGAGTTGTGATCAGTGGTTTCTGACATATCTTGAAGATACATAACCCCCTCATTTCACAAATAACAAAACTGAGAGTTGCAGTGGTCACACTTCAGCTTTTTCCATTACACAATATGCTTCTCCCTAGATAAGCCCAAAGTAGATATGCCTGTTTTGCGTTTAAATATTAGCTATATTTTAATGCCTTTGTTACCCCTTAACCAGATGGCAAATGCCTATTTGTCCTTCAAATCCCAGCTTCCTGTCTACCAGTCCCCACATACTGTTAATCACTACTAAGTCCTTTCACACCACAAATAAAAATTGTCTTACCGAGGATTTGCATTTTCCAGTAGTTTGGAAATGTTTTCTCCCACCAGGGTTACTGTTGTATTTAGTACCTGTGTAGATGGATCATTTATAATAGATGAAGATAAGAACAGTTAATTAGAGGCAGTCAAGCTCTACTCATGTTATTTGCTCACTATAAAAGAGCGAAAATGATTTTACTTTTTTCTTTTTCTAATTTTTAGCTAGAAGATACCTACTTACAGATAATATTATGAAATTAAAAGAATTTCAGCATAAGAAGGTGGCTGTTGTATATAATCTTCCTGGCACCAAAGGTAATGGAATTTATTTTTTAATTCTTTCATGGATCTGTCAGTCAGGTTTCCTCTGTTTTTATCGCTATTCAGTCTCTCCTTCAGTTAACCTCTCAGAAAAAATTGAGACCATTTATTCTTATTTCCCTAGTCTACATTCACCTTTCATCTCACACTCTACTACTACAAAGTCTACAGCTCTCCTCTTATCCCAGCTCCCATGATGCCAGAGAAATACTAAAACTAGTGCTACGATTAGTCCTTTCTAGATCTATGCCACTCAAAGTATGGTTTGAGGAACAGCAGCATCAACATCTATTGGGTGGTTGATAGAAATACAGACAGAAAGACCCCAGATGATTTATATGTACAATAAAGTTTAAGAGCTCTAGATGACTGACTTTCAAAGTTTTTGATGTAGAGGAGGCATGAAAACTGCATTTTATGTTTCATCTCCAATACACACACATATATATCTATATATAAATGAAATCAAATGAAACAAAAGTGCTATGTGTGAGGATACATTTTGATATTTTTCATTCTGTGCTGGACAAGTCAATAGGATCAAAGATTTCTTAAACAGGAGAAACTTGACTATATGAAATCTGGCATTTGCTTTGAAAAAAATCCAATGTATTTGGGGAATGTAGAGGAAACAGAATTAGCAAAATATTGGCAATTGTTGAGGCTAGGTGATGGGCACTTGGGGGAAGGGTCATTATACTGTTCTCTCTACTTTTGGGTATGTTTGAAATTTTTATTATAAAAAGCTAAAAACACAAGAAGAACACCACCCTAGGTTCTATTCCTTTTCAGCATTTGAGAAATCCTTTTGCATTTATTCCCTCCCTCCTGCACATAGAGTTCTTCCCAATACTTAAAGCTCCTTTATGAACACATCCAAGACTTTTCTTTCTTTTAATAACGCTTTTTTGTCCTTACTGACTTTTCCAGCTCTAGGCCCAGCTCTCCCTCCTCTAATTGCCACATGTTTGTGAGCACCTGATTAAGACTTCCTGCCTCCATTCCCTCACAGTCCAGAAATCGGTGTTCCCTTGCTGCTCCACTAATCATACTGACATATAACACCACCTGCAGGACAAGAACATAATCTTTGGCATGGGGGAGAGTATATTTGTCTCTAGTTTAGTAGACTCAATCTAGATTTCACTTCAGTCTTGTCTTTTTACCCCAGGTATTTTAGAGCTATGTAAGGTTTGCAATTAGGGCTCCATGTCATTGTCTAGTTGTTATTTCCAATTGTCATGGTCTTTATAAGGCTGTGACGGTTGCGCACATGTTCTGAAAGGCAATAATCAGTGCCAATCTACTTCATTGTTAGACTGCTATTTATAAAATCCTGTCAACCTTGTCACTTTAAGAACCCGTGGTGGGGCTGGGCGCGGTGGCTCACGCCTGTAATCCTAGCATTCTGGGAGGCTGAGGCGGGAGGATCGTTTGAGCTCAGGAGTTCGAGACCAGCCTGAGCAAGTGTGAGACTCCGTCTCTACTAAAAATAGAAAGAAATTAGCTGGATAACTAAAAATATATAGAAAAAATAAATTAGCTGGGCCTGATGGCGCATGCCTGTAGTCCCAGCTGCTCAGGAGGCTGAGGCAGAAGGATCGCTTGAGCCCAGGAGTTTGAGGTTGCTGTGAGCTAGACTAACGCCACGGCACTCTAACTTGGGCAACAGAGTGAGACTCTGTCTCAGAAAAGAAAAAGAACCTGCGGTGGTACTCTGTTGTACTCCACACTATGTACATGCTCGCCCCACTGGCTTCCTAGCTCTTCCATAATGGTCCTGACCTTTCTTGAGTCCAGTGTGGTTTCTTGTTAATCTAGTCACAGCTTTCCCGTCCATACCTTTCACCCCCAGTTCTATTCTATTACTCATATCGATACCTAGAATGCCCCCTCCTGTTTCTCTAACTCTATTCAGCGGCTTACTTCCTCACCAGTACCCCTCCTTTTCCACCAAACCTGGTCTGTCCTGAGTCATGATAGGTGTTGTAATAGGACTCTCCTGTCCACTCAGAGTCATAATAGGTATCATAGTAGAACTCTTCTTTCCTATTACATTTATAGTCATTCACATGTCACCTCTTCCATCATTGTTTTCAGACAGCTTTATTTAAATATGTCTTGCTCCTAAATAGACTTTAAGCTCTTTGAGGGCAGGAACTATGCCTTATTCTTCTTGGTGTGTCTCACACAAAGAAGAATACCTCTGAATATGAATGTACAATATAAGCACTTAAATGTTGATTGATTTGTCTTAAAACACAAGTTACATCTTAAAATTTTGAATTCTTAAGGTTTTTTAAGAAGAATTAAGAGATATAAAATGTAAAGTCGTCTCTTTGAGATCTTATAGATTGGAAATTGCTTAGAAATATTTAATAGACTAAATCCTCTTAGATCTAACAGGTGACAGAAGGAATGAAAATGAGAACAATAATGTCTTATTTACTGGCAGTTACTATGTGTTCAATGCCTTACGTACCTCATCTCAGGTAACCCCATGAGGTAGGTATCACAATCCTCACTTGACACGAGAGGAATCCAGTCTCATAGACAAGGGTCTCCCCCAGAGCATGCAAGTGGCTGAGCCTAAATTTCAGCCCAGGTCCTTCCATCTCTAAAACCTTTAACATTATGTGGTTCTAAAAATAAAGATTGGAACATCTACTGCATTATCTCAAACCTATTAGGGTTTCTTATAAATCGAAAGCTGTGTCCACCTCAGCTTCTAGTTCCTGTGTTTTTAATGTATATTTTGCCATTCCTTTCAGCAGCATTCCTTCAAAGCTCTGGGCCTGGAACAAATCCTATAGTACTTCTTGGCAGCTTCTGATACTGACAACAGTTTTGCCTTCTGGAAAGCAGATGCTTGCTTGGTGCCTGCCTTGCATCTCACCCCACATTTTGGTGAGAATACAGCCCCCTCCTGTTGCCAAGAAGCAGTGCCTCCTTTTGGTGTTTGACTGTCCCCTAAGTGGATCAGATGCAAAGACAAGGAACAACAATGCGGTGTGATGACCTTGAAATGCTGCTATCAGTAGAAGAGTGTTTGCTGCTGTTTAGAGGACTGTTTTGCCCCCTACCCATTACGTAAAGCTGTGGCATGCTTTCTAACAACTGAGTAAAGAGAGACCAAGAGGAATGAAAGAGAGATGAAGTTGAATCACATGAAAGAAGCACAAAGTATTACTGAATTGTGTAGGTCTACCATTGTGGATAAACCCCCCTCAAGTCACATTTTTCTTTTAGTTTCCCTGCTTAGTGCTCTGCCAATTGATGGTTTGGGTATCTAGCTGCATTTTCTTCATTTTTCTCATGAGTCACCTCTAAATTCAGTTATCTGGGCTAAGCCTCTCGGACAGTAGTATACCTGAGGATTGCCTAGAGAATCAGAAATGCCTATTCCTGTGGTCCTACCCCCAGAACTTCTGTTTTAGAAAATCTTGAGTGGGCCTGGGCCGTCTGCTGACTCTCAGTGCTCTCAAGGAGATCAGCCAGGGATGGGAGCTGTGTGTCTGTGAGCCCCTCTCATGCCCCTTGGCAGTGAGTGGGGGTACAGGCTTCCTCTTCTCCCTGAGGTCAGACTCCTTACAATCCCAGTCAGCCTCAGTGATGGCCACTGTACTGTGCTTTCTTCCAGAAACCTATTTTAGAAACTTGGAAGAGAAATTGACCCAGAACAAGCTCATCTTGAAGGAGGAGTTGAGAACCTTGCTTCATTTATGTGAGTCCCGGGATGATATGGAGCTGGCTAAAAGTGTCATTTACAGGTGAGGCATTTCCTTAAAATTCTGCCACCTTCATCTCTTCTTACGCTCGTCTCTTCTTACTCTGTTCCTTTCCCTGAGCAATCTCATCCACTTCTGAGATTTTAACTATCACCTCTGCATTGATGAATTCCAAATCTCTTGTCCAAATGCCTACCTTGCACTCCAGACATTTACATTCGTTCATTGAAAAAACAGTTATTGGTGCTATGCCAGGTGCTAAGGATAGAAAAACAGATAGGAGGATAGAAAAACAGATATTATTTGTGTCTGAAGAAATCACCAGCCTATTCACTAACTCCACTTACATATCCCCTAGGTCTTCAAATTCAACATATACAAATTTATTCGTCTTCCTGTGTTTTCTATCTCACTAGTCACTCAGGGCAGATAATTGGGAGCTTCCTTCCCCTTAATCTCATTACTTCTCCTTCCTGATAGGAAAATAAATCCTATTACTTCCACTTCCTTGAAATTTCTCATCTCCAGCCCTTCTCTCTCTCCCCCTATTACCAGTGTCTTAGTTCAGGCTTTAATGTCTGTCTCTTGGATCACTTCACTCCTAATTATTCTTCTTCTTTCAGTTTTGTGCCTGTTATACCTTTCTGATCCATTATTAGGGTTTCCTGTGTCAGAGGGAACTCACATGTAATTATAGCCTGCTGTTGGTTAAGCCAGCAAAGGTTTCACTTAACAGGGAGCAGTGTGACATCAAATCAACAGGCTTCATTTCTGAAATTAAGTCCATTGCTGCTTTTCACCATTCTTTAAAAATATATTTATGTACATGGACCTGCATTTATATTGTACATTTATAGAGAGAAATACAAGATTATCATATATAGAATACTAGAATGTTATGTACCAAAAGTTAACTGTGGTTCTCTGGGAATTAATAGATTGTATATTTTTTGTTTGTCTAAATGTATATCTTTCTGATTTCTCAAACTTGTCTACAATGGACATTATTAATTTTATATGAAACAATTAATGTTATTTTTAAAGTAAAAAAATTAAATTAAATTAAATCTGTTTAAAATTTGAAAAACACCAAAAAAGTAGAAAGAAAAAATATATCCCAGATTCTGCTTTTTCAGTTATCTGTTGCTGCATAACAAACCATGATCAAACTTAATGGCTTAAAACCATGACTATCTATTATTTCTCACAATTCCATGGGTCAGGAATTGAGGTCCATCTCCATCGGGCAGCTCTTCATTGGCATTGGCTGAAGGCACACACTCACCTGTAGTCAGCTGGGCTGTGCTGTTCTGCAAGGTCCAAGAAGGCCTCTCTGATGCTTCTGATGCCTCAGAGCTCCTCCATGTGACCTCGCTCTCCCTGTAGTGCCTCACCATTCGTTCATTCAGCTTCAGCTGCACCAGCCCATAGTACAGGTGGGAGCCACCAGGCCTTATGGAGCTGCCTGGAATTCACACAGCTCTTCCTGTTTAAGGCAAGTTACCTGGGCAGACCAAAGTCAAGGGGAAATGGATTCTACCTCTGGGTGGATAGAGCAGTGTGCATATGCAGGGAGGGAGGATTGATGGCAGCCATCTCTGGGGCCCATCCCCTACATCTAAGAAATAATTGTTAGTACTTTCATATATTTTTTCATAGATTTTTTTTTCCCATGCAAAGATTTTGTGGCTTTGGTAGGTTTTATTTTACATAATTATAATTATTATCGGATGTATGATAATATTTTCTTATTTTCTAAGTTAATATAACATAAATATTTTTTCTTGTTAATTATATACTTAGGAATCATATTTTAGTGGCATCATAATATTCTATTCTATGTTAAGATACTTTAATTAACTATGCCCCTATTGTTGAACATTTAAATTATTTCTAATTTTTCACCAGTATAAATAGTGCCATGATGAGCAACTCTCTGCATAAAACTTACTCTTGGTTTCATTTTGGTCATCAGAGGATATGAACTTTTTTAAAGCTTATCTGTATAACTGTCAGATTATTTTCCAAAATGGTTATGGTAATTTATAGTCACACTGTATCAGAAAACTTAATTCTGTATTTCAGTTTTGCAAAGTTATGTCATTTGAGACCCTCTGGCTTGTTTTCCTCTCACTCTTTTTACTACCCAAAGCTGTCAGACATTTGTAAGAATAGCAGAATGAGATAACAACTTTGAACACTCTTTCCATTTTTATTTTTATCATAAACATTCGAAGTATGACTCATAATTCCTTTATTGATTCTAATAACTCTCTACCCAGCTGTCCTTTCCTTGTCTACTTGGAGACAGCTGGACAAGTGGGAAGATGGGTGGGTCCGTGGCCCAGCCAACCTGTTCTCTCCCTGAGTCAGGAAGCCCACGGCTTGGAAAGGGGAATTATAAACTGAAACATAAGCCGTTTATAGAGCCAAAAATGAGGAGCAACTTAATCCCCTCATAATCTTGACCAAATGCTGTTGTTTGGTTTAGAGAGGGATTTTAGATCCTCTTACTTGAATGTTTCTTGTCCAGAAGGCGATTCATTATCTCATTGACTTTCTAACACTTTTATTAGTGTGAATGCCATTTAGAATGTGAATGTCAAATTGGGAAAACTTCTGTTTTTGCTTTCTTTTGTTTTAATCTGGCACAAGTTTCTCGTGATTACTGAAATACGTTGATTTTAAATATGCTTTCCTTAGCGTGCCTTATACTTTATAAGAGCTTACATGTATTGAAGACTTGCTGTGTGCCAGGCACATTGTCTCATTTAATCCTCACAAAAAAACTCTTCAAGTTGAGTTCTCTTCTCTCCATTTTACAGATGAGGAAACTGAGGCACACAGTGGTTAATTAATTTGCTCATCATTACTGAGTTTGTAAGTAGAAGAGTTGGGATTTGAATCATCTGTTGGGAATCAGAGTCTGAAAACCCTTAATTAGTATATTATTTTGCCTTCTGATAATTTATAAGTATTGTAATGAGGCAACGAATATTATTTGTAAGTTCTATAATTGGATTGTGAAGCGTATCTTTAAAAGTACACATCTTCTTTCTAGTTGGCAGTACTTATGTTTAGAATAGACTAGCCATAATGCTACTCTGACTTTCCTCAGTGATTTTTAGCAGAAGATAAAAAGTATTCTGTTTCATAAAGTCTGAGTTTTTCCCCCGTGGGTATTTTAGATTCATTCGTTACATGAATCTGTATGAATATGAAGATTCATAATGAATAAATCTTCCCAAAATGTGATTTACATGTAATCATGAGGTGCTTCTTTTGTCACCAGATTGTCATCTTGGTGTCTAAAGCAGAAAGAGTTGGTTATTGAGAGTAAATTTACACTGGTGATTTACAGTTCTGCAGTTCTGACTGGCTACCTGTAGAAATCTCAAGCCACATACTACACGTCATTGTGTTTAAAATTAGGCTTTTCCTAAAACTAAAAATTTCAAAACTGCATTTAACTTGTTTAGCTAGGTGATTGTAGCTCACATGTGCCTTTCCCCAAGCTCAGAAAAGCAGAGAGATTGCTGTCAATTGTAAATGCGTCTGTCGGTGTCTGCCATCCTCTGTGGGGATGAGCACAGAGCATCCCCGACTCCTTTCTTTTGTCCTCCTCTGGGTGGGGCTCTTTCTGATGCACTTGCAGCTGCGAGGTTCCTGCTGTTTTCTAATGTATGCTCACACAGTCTCAGCAGGTCGTTACTAAATTTGGAGAATGATTACAATGTACATTTTTCCTTTATTTCTTTATTTCACAGGATGTCAGCCTCTAACAAACTCTTTGTTTATTTGTTTGTTTAAATGCCCGGTATACTTCTGCACTCCAGGATGCCTCTGTTGTCTTCACCTCTCCACTTCTCCCCCGCCAGACTGGGAGAGCGCCTCGTTCTTTATTGTGTCCACAGCACCTAGCATGCTGCATGCCACGGTCTTTGTCCCTCCTTTTTTCTGTGTCCTACCTTTTGGCTCATTGAATCATTTTGATTTCCAGGTACCATGCAGAGAACAGAAATGTCACTTTGGGGGAATATAAGTTTGGACCACTTTTCATGAGGCTATGTTATGAGTTGGATCTTGAGGAGTCTGCACTGGCGCTCATCAAAGACCAGGTTATTGTTTTCTGATTGCTTTCCCGATGGGGTGTTTTTGGTGACATTAGGAAGGGCATCTCTTCCATACACATTATTCCTGGGTTAGATTTTCAGAGATAGGCCACTGGGCTGAATGAGTGAGCTTTTCCATTCATTTTTAAAGTTCCCTAGAAGTCAGTTCATGTGAAGAGGTGTAGGGATCTACATTGGTGTAGAGCAGGTGTGGAAGAGGTATAGGTACAGATTATAGGGTATCCACTACTTTGGATGTGTGTCGACCTGGGGCATACATCCTCTTTGTGAAGATTCCAGCGGAGAGTAGTTTGACAAGCTGCCAATTTAAGACTGACATTCCTATCCTTCACCTGTTCTCAATTTTGTATTTGCATTTTTATTTCTGGTTGAAGACTATATTTGTGAAGTACTTTTCTATTTTCAAAATGCTTTCACATAATTTTTTTTCCCCTAAAGACAAAAATAAGTAATTATTTTTTCTGTTATTTACTGAATATTTACTATGTCCTCAGCATTGCTTAAGCACTTTACATGTTTCATTTTATTTGTTTTTCCCAATATCCCTGGTGAGGTAGATATATTATTTCCATTTTACAGATGAGGAAAATGGGACCTGGAGACATTATAAATTTATCCGTGGTCAGAAACATTTGTTAAATTTTGGGGCTGAGTCTGGCCACGAGGTGTATTTTAGTATATTTAGGAATGTACATAACGAGGTTGTTCTTTGTGCCTCTTGTTCTTTCCCATGTATGGTGTTCTCTGTGTGTGGTAGGACTGTTAACTCTAGGCTTGCCCTTCTTTAAGGACACCTGTGTGTTAGAAAGATGACCATAATATGTTAGTAAGCAGAGAAAAGATAGTTTCAGAATAATACAGATGGTTTGATCCTATTTTTTTTCTAAAAAAGAAAAAATATATCCCAGATTCTGCTTTTTCAGTTATCTGTTGCTGCATAACAAACCATGATCAAACTTAATGGCTTAAAACCATGACTATCTATTATTTCTCACAATTCCATGGGTCAGGAATTGAGGTCCATCTCCATCGGGCAGCTCTTCATTGGCATTGGCTGAAGGCACACACTCACCTGTAGTCAGCTGGGCTGTGCTGTTCTGCAAGGTCCAAGAAGGCCTCTCTGATGCTTCTGATGCCTCAGAGCTCCTCCATGTGACCTCGCTCTCCCTGTAGTGCCTCACCATTCGTTCATTCAGCTTCAGCTGCACCAGCCCATAGTACAGGTGGGAGCCACCAGGCCTTATGGAGCTGCCTGGAATTCACACAGCTCTTCCTGTTTAAGGCAAGTTACCTGGGCAGACCAAAGTCAAGGGGAAATGGATTCTACCTCTGGGTGGATAGAGCAGTGTGCATATGCAGGGAGGGAGGATTGATGGCAGCCATCTCTGGGGCCCATCCCCTACATCTAAGAAATAATTGTTAGTACTTTCATATATTTTTTCATAGATTTTTTTTTCCCATGCAAAGATTTTGTGGCTTTGGTAGGTTTTATTTTACATAATTATAATTATTATCGGATGTATGATAATATTTTCTTATTTTCTAAGTTAATATAACATAAATATTTTTTCTTGTTAATTATATACTTAGGAATCATATTTT